CCCTAGCAGAAAAAGTTGTAGACGTCAGGTTGATGCTGGTGAGTGACTCACAACGTGGCCTTGGGTGGATCGAAGATGAAGCGATACTGGAAGACGAAGATGACTTGCGTCCAATGAGGCCTCCAGAATGATTTCCAGCTTGTTGCGAAAGAGAATTCAGGCCACCAATACTGGTACCAGCAGCAACGAGATGTGGAACCTCTCCAAACCCAGCCACCAGCTCCTCATCAGTCAGTATCTTGTTGAAATAGCCAGAATGGTAGTCATCGCCGAAGACACGCCACCACAAGTTTTGCACAGTAGCATAGCGTTTGCGTTCTTCCGAATTAACGCCAGCCCATCGACTCAGGTGACTCAGCACGTTATGTCGTAGTCTAGCTACAAGCGACGCCTTGCTCTTACTCTGCTGTCCTGATCTTTCAGCGGTGTGGAGTTGGGAAATGGCGGTTTGCAACTCCTTCAAAGCAGCCTCCCTAAGATTCAGACTCACCTGAGATTCAGAGATTAGCTCTGCTTCGCTTCGAAGCAGAGTGGCTTCAGTTGTGACATTAGTTGCGACCGCAGAAGCTGTGGTCGTTTCCTCTTGGTGATAATCCTTATCTTGTTTTGCATCGTGATCCGGGAGTAGTTGTGGATCCGCAGTTCCCGGAGATCCAAATACAGAGGGAGTGGACCTACGTTTCGTCAACAATGAGCCACCATCACTTGCAGACGCGGCTCGTGGTGTCTGATGTTGTGCTGACATTGGAGTTGTACTCAAATGCGAAGGCGTCCCAGCATGTTGTTGATTACCGGTATTGTATGCGTGCATTTGATCCACCAGGAAGTGGATTTCGGACCACAAGAAAGACCAAAACGGACTCTCGGATGCTGCTGCGAAGACTACTGCTGGCGAAACTCGTGGGGCAGATTTTACTGTGTCTGTGGGTGGAAGCAGGGTTTCTTCAACAGAACCACGACTAGCATTTACTTGTTGCTCGATGCCGTCTTCTTCTTCAGCTACATCGCCTTCATCACCTGCTTCTGCAATTTCGTGCCTTACATCATCTTCCTCAGCGGCAATGTTTACTTGGTCAAGGTCATCTTCCTTTCCGTCATCTTCTTCCCGTAATTGAGCTTCTTCTGCTTGTCTGTCGCTTGCGTCCTCCTCGGGAGTAACTGCAGACGAATGTGGGGAGGCAGACAATGGAATATCAGTCTTCGCCACAGGAGGAGGCACTTGTAATTGTACCTTAGTCTTGGCCTTCTCTAGTGCCCTCAATTTCTGCCGTTGCTTCTTACTAAGTTTTTCTAGCGGTTTCGTCCCTGATGAAGCTGAAGGTGATGGTACAGGTTCACCATCCACTTGAATTGTTTGGTGTGCAGACCCAGACGCTCCTTTATTGTCAGGGGCGGTGTTACAAGTACTAGTACTAGTACTACTTTCACTTTTATCTGCTTTACCCTTATCATGACCAGCATCATTATCCTCGAGATCATTCCCGTCAAGCAAAGCCAATAGGCTATCGAGGGCAGCGGAAGCAGCCACAGTACTGGAAATTTTGCTACTGCTTTTGGCGGAGTCGGAAGCAGTACAGCCTTGACGTTTGGAATCTTCTGCTTGCATAGCTCGAATTACGCCCTTAGGCATCACGAAAACGCCGGGCTTATGCTGCTTTTCGTCCTCGCCTGGGCGCAGTCCACCCAGAAACCGTGAAGGCACTTGATCAAGTGGCTTCATCTCTTTGTGATGTAGTTCTGGCGCTATGGATGATGCGGAACTAGAAGATGGGTTGGACTCTTTATGTTGGGGGTGGAGCATCAATGAGTTTATTCCTTGCTCGTCGTCAGGCCTCAGCCAGGCGCTTGGAGGCAGAACCAAGTCGGAAGCGGAGTTGGATGGACCACAAAGGCCGCTTGTGAATGGCATGGTTGGCGTGCCTGATGATGAAAGCGTCCTTGAAATTGAAGACACTAGTGGGCTTCTCGTCTGTTCGCTGCAGTAGTGAGTACTAGGGGTGGAAGGGTCTCCAAAGGTGCTGTGTTGTTTTTGCGCTCCACCATCTGCATCAACATTTTTGCTTGACAGTCTCGACGCACTCGAACTACAACTACTTGATGCTGCCAATGGACGACCTGAAGAGACGGAGACGGCCACTACAGGCGAAGGTCCTAGTACACCTCTGTGGAACAAGCTCGATCCACCTAGCAAGCCATAGCTCGAGCAATCACCGAAGGGGGAAAACGGCATGAATGTCGCATCTTCTGTATGGTCATTCGCTGTCGCATCGTCACCTGATGAAGCTTGTTGTCCTATCGGCACCGGGCGAGCTTTTTCAAGCAATTTCCTTCTCACATCAGGACCACGGTTTTCAAACTCAACTTTGTCTCCTCTTTTTGATGTTCTTTTATGAGTTCTGCGTTTCACACGAGAAAGGCGGCCGGCTGTGAGCACATTCTTTGACTCACCTCCCATTCCGCGTGGCCGGTCTTGCGATGATGACCAAACTAAAGGAGCCCAATTTTTTGCTCTAGTAGATCTTCTAGACGCAGTAGTTGCACCAGAGGGCCTTTGTTCCTTTTCTCCACTAGAAGTAGTTGTAGTTTTCAGGCTGGCGGTGGCGTCGTCGTCGTCCAGGGCAGCGTGATCTTTTCCCCCCTCTTCCTCTTCTAAGCCCGCTGCCTCGACGATCTCCAGAAACCGTGCTGTCGTGTCGAAGAGGTCATCGACCTCCTCGTTGTGAACAAAGGCACGTCGTCGCATCGACACAGAAAATTTTCGAATGTTCGTGTAGGCTTGCTTTAGGGAGTGGTACTGTTGAGATACCTTGTGGGCTAAAACCAGGGGTTGAATTCTCTGGATATGGCTAGAGGACTGCATTTGCACAGAAGAAGCAGATCCACTTCTTGAGGAAGATGGAGGTTCTTTTTTGAGCCTTCCCGATGAAGAGAGGTAGCTTTTCTTTGAAAGTTTCTGCTTCGCAGTTCTCCTTTTTTTTGCTTCTTTTGGAGCTCTTTTTTCCTGGGCGTGGTCTGCTCGAAGCGCATCATCTTTGTTCTTTTCGTCTTTAAGAGGTGAAGAGCCACCTGGCGCAGTCTGTTCACCACCAATTATATCTCCAAGAAGACCCGAGAAAAAACTAAAGGCATCGCGTTCTTCTTTTTCCACTTGACCAGGCAGATGCACATGCACCTCATTCTCCATTCCCTCAGAAGCCCTCCTGTGCGCCGTCAGCATATCGGCTTTCATAAGTTCCGAGAGCCTCGAACATAATGAATCGGCGATTTCTTTCTTTTTTGTTTTCGAGCTTAAGGAAGTGCGATCTTCAACATCCTCCTCTGCGGCCAGTTCTCGCTCTAGGTCGGCACTCGATGACTCCTCTCCACCCGACGCGGGCGAGCTCGATGCATCCTTCTCTTCGATGTCTGACTCATCTCGGTCTTGCTCGAATCGAGCATCCTCTTCATCGCGCACCCCGGCCACGGGGAGCATCAGCGTGTTGCTGTCTGCGCCAACAAAATCAGTAGAAGAACCTGCAAAACAAGAACGATCACGAGTTTCTTCTTCGACTGGTACCAAGTCGTTGGCTGCACTCTCTCCCTCCATACCCTCAAGCATATTCATCCACCCAAACGCTCGAATTGCCTGTCGTGGCAATCCATCTCTAATCGCACTCCAGCGTTCTGCCAACCTTAAGGAACAAGGCAAAATCTCCTCTAGTTGCGCTAGACCCTGGATGAAAGAGTCGAACAAGCTTTCTCCGAGAAGCTTGGCATGAATAAAACGTTCTTTGCGTCTGTGGCGGCGTGATGACGAAGGAGCATCATGATCATGATTAGACCTCACTACAATCCATCTTTCCCCTCATCTGTGTCCCTTTTTGTAATTGAAAGCAGGTCAAAGATGAACAAAAAGATGGATTAAGTGAGGGCTTAACATGATGATGAGTAGACGAGTTTCTGGAGATTCCTGCTCCAAAGGTCGTATCCAGGTTCTTTTCGTCGTATTCAGGCTCTTGTTCATCCAAAAGACCAGTGGGCAAGAGCGTTGCTTCTAGTGTGTCGGGAGCGGTGCCCCGGTCTAGGAGGTCAAGAAGGCCTTCAATTTTCGCAGAAATCGTCAAACCTCGTTCAACAAGTTCATCTTCGTCTTCATCCTCTAGTGGTAAGGCATCTGCTAAACTCAATAACGAGAACGCGGCAGCTTCCTCAGGGTGCACAACTGCAGGTGATGCCGCTGCTGCAGTGGTCGGGCCCCCGCCTCCCTGTCCTGGTGCAGCAGCTGCCATAACAACTCTACCCAAAACGACTAGAAGGTAAAGAAATCTCATCGTGGAGGAAGTCATACTTTTGATCATGCTGGGGTACGAACTACTTCTACTTATATCTTCTTTCATGCATACATTAAGGATACGGGTACGGCGAAGGTCGGTATTATAATTACGGACCACCTTCTTGCGTCCTAGTACCCTTACATCGACGTTGTCTAAAGCCAAGAAGTACGAAAGAAACTCAAACAAAGTGCAAGATGATAGATCAAATTCATAAGCATAGGTGTTAAGAAAATGCTGCAGAAACAAAAGCTTGCGCAACTATTGTCCCTGCACAGTTAGAGAGACAAATTAAGCCTGCTAATCCTCCTCACGACTGTAAATAAAAGTGTTCATGATTAATATCATGGCACTGTTTTTCGTTATGCCACTGTTTTTAGGTTATTGTTTGTGGGCTTCTATCCTCCTTTTCGAGATTCATATTACCTATTCTTTCTCTAATGAAGAACAGACTCTTGAAATCGATGAACGCAACTACAGGACCAGCAGAGGTGCTGCACTCTCTAGTTGTACTAGCATCACAATGATCAGCACAACATCAAAGAAGCTTTGAAGCTGTTAGAACTCCAGTGGAAAGAACATATACAGCATAGATCGACAGCTGCACCTACTCATCAATAGAATAAGAAGTGAGGAGGTCTCTTATTCCTCCTCCTCCACACATTGCCAGCTTAATAATCCAATCACGCAGGAACAGGAGACAGTACAACACCCGCATCAGCAGACATGATGGCATAATTTTCCATTTTCGTGGCTACTCTTTCTTCTCTTTTTTTGAGGTCGTTTCAAAATAGAAAAACTTGCAAGAACTCGCTGAGTGCTCTTGGGGACGATTCACAAAGACATTTCCGCGTACGATTCAGGCTCATGCCGAATCGGTAGCACAGCACTGTGACAGTGCGTCCCGAGTTTTTGTGAGCCATTTGAGATTGAGTAATTTCATGATACGATTGATGAAAAGATGATACGGCAAGGGTAACGATTCTTGAATCTTGGATAAAAATATACTCGTGCGTTGTAATTCGATATTTTGGCGTTGTTGAACAATTGTCCTATAATTAAAGCGCAGCACTCAATGGTCACTGATGCTGAACGGAAGAGACCCCCTTCAAAGCTCTCCCCTTTCCCTTCCTTTTCCCCTGGTCTCTAACGGGGTCGCTTCTTCGATCTCAGTGACTCCAATCTCAATGGTGACCATTGAAAGTTGAGCCTTAATATAAATTCTGGTGGCACGCAAATGAGTACTGTGGCCACGTCGACGACGTCCTCGAGACGGACGTGGCAGCAAAATCCTCAGCTTCATCCCCCCCTCGCCGCCGCACTGAGACTCTCGGTCATTTGAGCCAAAACGATGCTCTTCAACTCTGCCCTCAAGACGTTCAAGGCTTTTTCGTTCTTTTTCTCCCCTCTTGCCGCCACATCCACCTCCAACTCCGTCATCGGCGTCAGTCTCCCTACAAACACCCACACGCTCCCCACCTCGTGCTGCAACGGATACACCGAAGCATGGACTACGAATTCCGTCTCCTCGTTCTCGGTCAAAAAGAGGTCTCTGACGTCCTTGCTAGTCGACAAATAAGCGCGGATCTCCCGCAAGTCCATAGTCGAAAAATGGAAGGGAATAGCGTCAAAAAACGTGTTTTCAGGAACCGGCAGACCAGCGACTCGGATGTCCAGTTCCTGCCACTTCTTCCACCACCTGGCCCAAGCTCGGCGAGCACGATGTGGATACCCCTTGGCGTCGCTCAGGTTTTGCCGAGGATGAAAGGGGTAAGGTTATGAGGAACAAGGTTCTTGGTATAGAAGAATGTTGTAAGTTAGTACTAGAGGTCTAAGAGTGTTGTAAGAGGAGATCTAAGACGAGAACGTAAGAAGGTAGAGCAGGTACAAAGCTGATAGTGCTGGTGCTCTAATAATTCTTAAATGATATTAGATTTTTTAATCTTGTTCAAATTATGAACTAGTACACCAACACGACCCTGAGCCTGTCTCCGCACCTAAAGCTAAACAAGCTAAATCAAGAGTTCGTCTTCCTTCATAAAACAGACTCCCGTTGAAGGGAAACGACCCTTTTCTCAGCGTTTTATCCACCTTGTCCTTATTTGTCGTGTGCGCTGGATCCAAAAGGCACTGTTTTTCCATGTGATCTAGGAAGTCCGTCAACGCCTCTGCTAGCAAGATTTAGAGCTACCGCGTTCGCATCCTTGAGAGCATCATGATCCCTGCTTGTTTCATTTTCAAGTAGAAAAGGGCCACCAGGGAAGATGGCGCTGACGATGCATCAACAGCGGTAGTAGCCACCTGCTTAAAAGGTACTCCTGTACAACTTCGTATTCAAGCCCATCCGCAGCCTGGCAAAGCGGAGAGCCTCTTCGACGTCGTGTCGGATCTTGTCGATCAAGACTTGTGCTTGTTGTTTCTCGAATGCTGGACCCACTACGCAGGACTTCGGATCCGACCGGATGAGCCAGCGGTCCGTGCCATAGTATTGGTCTAGGAGTGGTTTCCATTGTAATTCGTCTAGGAAGTCATAGCGGATCCAAGCTGGATCGTGGTTCCTCAAATTCCCCCACACATTTTCCCTATTGAAAGCGATTTCGATCGAATAGTAGGGCAGAGCAGTGGCCTCAGCTTGCGTCTTAGAAACAAACGGACACGCTCAAACCCGCCACATACGAATCTTAGGAAAAATTTTTAGGGAACGAACATAATATCGTCCCCTAATTTTCCCTAAGTTTTGACCTCCTCCACAAACGACGTGTCCGTTTGTTCATAAGCGTCGCAAATTCCTCCATCGGCGCTATCGGTAACGTGTTGAACTTGTTCACACGTGCTAGAGCGTCGCGACGTCTACCGAGTAGATCCCAGACACTATGCGAAGTGGCTATTTTCGGATCGTCTTCGTGCGTGAGCCATTTTCGGTCTAAGTTTTGGTTGCATCTAAGTCTTGCATATCCGACAGGCTTTTCGTTCCTGCCACACCACCGCTTGCCTAGATGGAACGTCATGGCCTGAGTAGTCTCCCATAGAATGACGGAACCGTCGGTCTCCCTCGTCATGACCCAAGTGTGCTCTGTATACTGCGTTTCCCTCGGAACTTTGAGACGGTGCATCGAAAATTTCGGCAAGTTTTTGCCGACGTTCTTGGATGTTAGAAAAAGAGAATGAGCCCTTATGGGGGAATCTGAGTAGTAGAATATCCACCTGGAGTGGAGGGAAGAACAGCCACTACCTGGAGGTCCCGCTACTAACTTTTCGCCCCCAAAACATGATAGAGATAAACGAATTCTTCACCAGGATTTCTATCTTGTTCACTCTATTTGGAATCATACCCACCAGCATAACTGTCTAATCGTTCCCTTGCACACGTACGCGTCCTTGCCAATTCACGATCATTGCACATTATTGTGCTCGATATTGTGCACAATTGGCAAGGACGCGTACGTGTGCAAGGGAAGAACAGCCACTAGCTACGTACCTGGGGGTCCCGCTCTTACTTTTTGCCCCCAAAACATGATAAAGATAAACGAATTGACCAGGATTTCTAAACGAATTCACCAGGAATTCTATCTTGTTCTCCCCAGGAATTTGTTCACTCTATTTTCATACCCACCAGGCAGCATAACTGTCTAATCGTTCCCTTGCACACGTACGCGTCCTTGCCAATTGTGCACAATATCGAGCACAATAATGTGCAATGATCGTGAACGGTGCCTCGTTTTGAGCGCAATGTCTCATCTACTTGTTTCCACGAATCTCGTTCTATTCTTCGACTCGCGTGCTGCCTCTGCGACACCGCAAAGGAAATACACGCCAGCCAGTGCATCAGATACGCATGATATCGCATACCATCCGCCAAGACCATGTGTCTAATGAGACCACACAAGAACTGTGGCCCTTCTCCGCTACTGGCATCCTCATACGTGACCGCAAAGTGTCTTTTTTTCGGTGGTATCGCATCGATGAACCAGAAACTGTAAGCCGAAGTAAACCCAGTCCAAAAGGCATTCCACTTGTTCACGATCCTCTGCTTCCCCAAGACGGCTGCTTCCTCGTCCGCTGGCACAGGTGGCTGCGGAGGAACCATAAAAGTCTTCGGAAAATCCGGGATGAAGTACACGTCAAACGTGACAGCTGCCTTTCCATCTGCGTTTTTCCCCACTAAGCCACCTCGCAGAGGTTCTCTGCGCGCTTGATAGACACGCGTCTTCTGCTTTTTCAGCAAATCCGGGTGCAAACCAAACGAGAAAGTTTGCGAGACTGCCCCGGTGAGCATGTTTTTCGTTTTCTTGAGGCTTTTGTCTTGCTTGTTTGTCCTTTGGGCATGTTTTTTAGAGCTGCTGACCCAGAGGCAGAGAGATGATCCATGATCTTCTTGAAATCTAAATCTTCAAATACACGCCCTGATCGGTGGAACAGCACCCTGCAACGAACATGCTTCATTTTCGGGAGCTGTATGGATCAGGCTTTAAGCCTTATAACTTTTCTCGCAGCATCACCTTCACTATCCATTCCTTAAGCCTTAACTTTTCTAGCAGCATCATCTTCACTATCTATTCCTTCCTCCTCTTCGTCTGAAGGAGGCACTTCAGATTCATCACTCTCTGCTGGTCCGTCGTCATCGTCCGCTTTTTTGGCATTCAAATCAGAGCTCTGCTTTGCCTTCGTACTCGGATCCGCCACAGCACGCATGCGATTCGTACCGTATTGCAGAATCACGTGTGGATCAATTGAGATCTTACCGAGTATTAGAGGCTGAAACAAATCATTTCTTGCCTCCATTTCTCCCAATCCTAAGAAGGGAATAGGGGAAAATGACTTGTAAAAATGAAATGTTTCAACCCTTAAGAGTAACTCAGTAGGTGTAACGCCATTGTGATGCCATATCTCGATGCTCACCGATCCGCGTTTGAGAATATCCACTGGCAGAATCTTCTGCACCAGTTGAGGGTCACTTCGGATCGCGGGATTCACGTAGCGGACTGGGAAATGGAGGTACTGGTTTAGGAATGAAAGGAGGAAGCCGAAGCTGGGAGAGATCATGTTGGAGGGGGAAGGTTGGAGAGATGTTGGAGGAGAGATGTTGGACCCGGACCGTGTACGATCTAAATAGGCCGCAACTTCAAGTAGGCTACTTAAAGGGCAAGAAAATGTACTCTCCGGCGTCTTTCTTTTAAGCTGATAAAAAGCTGTAAGCTCTAGATCTCCCCAGCCATACCCAAACAGGTCTCAGCGTATTGTAATTTACTGTCGACTCCAGAACGCAACCATCGTAGGTCAGTCTGGCCATAGCATTCGTCGTGTTTCTATCGGTGTCGACGACAGGTAAGCCTTCAGCGGAGTACAGTTCTACCAAAAGGTACTGTGCTTTAGGATCTAACATCATGATCAAAGAGCGCGCCATAGGTTGCTGCGGTCGTCGGACGGTGTTGTCGGTCAGGAGAGTCTGAAAGGGGACGAGAGCAGGGGAAGGGGGACGAATATGTGTAGGAATGAACAAGAACATAATGAATGAAGTTCAAGGTGTGTAGTACTTCTGAAGCTGATTCTTCTAGGACAGCTGCTTCATCTAGCACACTTTCTTCATCAAGCATAATCTTCAATCACCCCTGCTGGCAATCCACTCGACCGCCTCGTGACCGAAATAAACCCACTCATGACTCCCAAATAGTAGTCCTTCTCCTTGAAATCCAGTGCCTTGATCACACACCGAATGGAGCTGTTTTGTTCGGTTCCTGCTAAAGGGATAATCCCTGCGCCACGTGTGAAAGCGCCCTGAAGTAAGGCGATTTCTGCGAATTCGGAGTGAAACGAGGGCCGCGTTCCCTTGTACAAAAAAGTGCCGCCATCTTCCCAGAGGATGTTATCTGGGTCTTCAAGCCAGTCACTGTTGAAGGTGTCGACTCCGCCATCCATGTTTCGAGGTACGGTGACGGAGGTTAGACGTCACGTCTAAGTGCTTCGGTTCGTCTAACCAGTGGTTCTGCACGACTGGCCAACGATGAAATTGTAGCCTACTTGTCACTACGACAAGTCGATTGTTGTATTGTGCAAACAACATGCAAACAACAACATGCTGACCATAAAAGTGAAAAACGTACTAGTTGGAGGACTTAGATGAATAGTTGTGACCGTCCCATAAACTTATCCTCAAAAAATTCGTTTGCAATGTCTCCCGATTCCTTGGCACAAACGACAAACCTGAAAACGTAATCTCGAAATTGAACAACTCCTGTAGGACCACACCCATTCCCACTCTCAAAACTTCAGCAGGATCCATCACCGAGTTGTCTTGCGGCTCTTGTTAGAGCAGCTCCCACTAATGCACTTCCACAAAAGCAAGTGTTGGTGATACATTGTGGAAGTGCATTACTACAAGCCTTAGTCTTGCTCTGGCACACCGTCCCCAGCCGGCGCTGGCTCTTTAACTTTCTCCGCCACCATCGTCTCCAATGGCTGATGTTGTAACGACAAAAACTGCGAAGTTTCTCCACAAGCCATCTCGAAAATTGACCGCGAACCAGTGCCAAGGTATTGGTTCATCGAGAGCATAGAAGGGCTCCACAAGTCGGCTCGAAACTCCATGTCCTTCATCCAGATGTAGCTACCTTCGACCACGGTAGAATAAAACTCCAACTCTTCTCCTAGTTTGACCTTCTCCATAGGCGGCACCTGAATCAACTGGGAGTATAGGTAAACGTCCTCGAAGAAGAACGCGATCTCAGGTTCTAAACGTGCAAGTTTATTCGCCGTAGTACCGGCAAAGGTTAGAAGACGAGGAAACGACTCTTCTACTTGTTCTTGTCAATATATGTTGTGGTCACTGTTCTACTTATAACATTGATGTTACATCAGTCAGAACAAGATGCTACTGCTACTTCTACAAAAGGCTAGTTTCTTCTTGTTCACTGTTACCAGCCTACTATGTATTATAGAACTAGAGTCCTCCAGTTGAGGACTAATTATGCTATACTATTTTCTTCTTGTTCACCAGAAGTTACCACCTAAGTACTATAAAATGTATTCATCTCCATCACAGCGTTTTTTCCATACCAAAAAAACCGCTTGCGAATCGTTTGTCATGTTCTGGAATCGATTAATCGTCAGCTTGAAGATGAACTCCCTGTTCAGTAATTGCGGATCTCCCTGAGCGAGTCGCTTGACTAATTGCGCTTCCCTGATTTGAATCCTAAGCTCATTCAAGGCTTGAATCGTGAAGAGACTCTGTCTTCTAGGTATGTCTTGCTGCAAATCGGCTTTGGCGGCCAAGCTTAGAGATTCCGAAGCTAGTACAACAGGGTAGGCCGAAGATAGTGCACGTTCATTCTTCTTGAGTTCTTCTTCATCTTCCTTCACGCATGCTTTCGATGTGCCCGAAACGTTCGTTCTTCTCGAGTTCTTCTTCATCTTCCTTCATGTGCCCGAAGGAAATGTCTGCCACTTGCTTCTATTCCTTTCTGTTTTACTGAAATAATGTGATGAATGGACCTCTAGACGGCGTTTAACAATTAGACCAGCAGACTATTCAAGGTACTTATTTTCATTTAAGAACAAGGAGTACACAGGTGTATTATTTTAATAATAACAACTTCAATCATAACATCTTCTGCTCCTCCTCATCCTGCAAGTTGAACCCTCGATCATCAATCGCCACTGTTGGAGGCTCCATGCCACCCATGATTTTCGATGCATTTCTTAGCAATGGCGCTACTGCATTCTTCAGAGCAAATCCTTGACTTTCGTCCTATTGGGAAACAACTACCAGCAGTCAAGAGTTGTTGAATGGTTCCGGTATTTGGTTGTAACCTGAATTGGATCCCAAGGGTTCATCTCTTCTTGTTTTCCCTTGATGTAATCAAAATCAGGTTACCGAATACCAGATGAACCATACAATTGTAGTAGTGCAGATAGAATGCATGCTTTCCTATAAAAATTGGGAAGCACACAAGTCAAGATGAATGGTAGTGCAGATGAATGCAATGGGGAAAAAGAAAAACATAAATTTCTCGGTACTGACCACACTGGCCGTGCGTCCTGTAACTCCTCCATTGCCAGTTCATACTTCGTCGGCGCTTTGAAATCGTCCTCCTCATCAGTGCCTATATCCTTCCCTTTATTCTTCTTTCTCTTCTTCTTAGCTAGTTTCTTCGTGGCTTTTCCTTAGAGGTGACTTCAAGAACAATACGTACCAGTATCATAATGAAAATCAAAATTATTTGAGATATCACAACATCGATGAAACCGGTGCCACAAGTAAGACAACTACCGACCACCTAGTACGCAGTTGACGCCCTACGCTTCACCAAGTTGACCTACGCTCCGCTTCAGCAATAGGAGGTCGCACATCTTCATCTTCTGTGGCTTTTCTTCTTCTCATCTTCTGTGGCCACCTTCGACGTGTTCATAGACATGCTCATAAAAGAAAGGTCAACGTGAAACTGCAAACCTTAATTTCTTTTCCTTTCTTCAATGACCCGCTCAGCGTCCCGTACTTTCTTCCTTGCAGCTGCCAAGGCTAGTTGAGCCCGCTTGGCGGCTGCGACTCTCTCCGCGTCTCCACGGCCTTCTCTCAGTGCGAGTAAATCGGCACCTTCCTCTGCGATGATCTCATCGGCGCCCAAGGCGACTGAAGATTAGACGCGGCAAAAATCTCATGATTTGATGCTTCAACTACAACTAAGTACAACCTTGACTCTTTTTTCGTCATCATAATTTTCAGCATCCGCCAATTCCTCTCTTGCAGCCTTTAAATTGATCACCAAAGGGTCGGTTGAAGCTGCAGTTGTAACCGACGCCTTACCTGATGGAACTGCAGCTGTTGTATCGTCTTTTTTTTTATCCCCCTTTTTGATTTTCGTGGAGGCTGTAGCTGTTCCAGACGCCTTCTTTGACGCCGTGGCTGTGCCAGAGGACGCCTTCTTTGACGCCGTGGCTCTGCCAGACGCCTTTTTAGCTTTTTTTGCTGACGACATCTTGGATGATCAGCTGCTCGGCCTTGCAGCGGCAGCCTTAGAGTTGAGGCTGTGAAATCAGGGTCAGGTCAACCACGCAGCAGCACGTCGTGGGACACAAACATCTTCTACATTTTTTTGTTTTCACGTCATTCTTTATTTTGTGATGGTGACATGCGCATGTAGATGTACTGTGTGATCATCATTTGTTAGTTACGAAAATCTCACGAGAAGAAAAGCTTGCACTACAAATTCCTATACTCTATTGCAGCCTTTTTTTCCTGCCTTTTCTAGCTCCACCTCATCATGCTTCCTTGTTGTCGTAACAGATTCACATCATGTATACCGAACTTGTACTAAAGTGACCGACGAGAACTTCTACCGAAGCACACGACCATAAGAAAGTTTCTTGCGGTTGCTCACCAGCTCTCTCCTCTCCATCAACTCAACAGTCAGAGGCACCAGAAGACGCACGCTTTCACAAGAAGTTTGCGCGTTGCACTTCACTGCAGTGCTAGTGGATAGGATAGAATAGGAGTTGACCCGCCATCCACAGTTTTACCTGCATACTCAGGCGGATATGCACAGCCTCAGTCAGAAGGACTACCAACACTTAATTATCGTCCATCGAGTCGTGGCACTATCGGACGTGGTGATAGGTTCATCTTATTCTTGGTTGGTAAATCTGAAGATTGAGTATGAGTGCCTGCTGCGTTTGTGGAGATACACATAATTCTTGACTTGCATCATGCTTGTTCATTTTTTTCAACAACCGATATAACTAGACAGGCTCCTGCTTGGTCGTCATTACTCAAATACTAAACAGAATACTTGCATATATTACAAAAATCGTAAAAATCGATATCGTGTTCATTAAATCGTTCCTTTGACATCGAGGGCATTTTCTTGACTAGACACATGTGCATAGCTGTACAAATTTATATCATTTATTTCATCTTTAGCCGAGATTTGATGTTCATATTTATATATATTTGTCATTTACATTTTTCTTGAAGGAGCACATTAATCTGCCTGAATGTTCGTTTCATTTTTGTTTTTGAATATTGATTGACCTAACAAGAAATGGGGATAAGTATAATCCTAGGAAAAGCCAGCGAAGTAAATACGTAGATCGAAAAATATATTATAGCTGTACATCAACACTATGCAGAAAGCTATCTTCGTTGCAAACCTCCTCCAACAGACGCAACAAGAATTATGCGGAAAAATAAAGGATGGGACGATGGGTGTCGGGCTGAGAGCGTCTCGGTTGAGTGTGCTTGAAGATGAATGGGCATAAGGAACAAAATTCATGAAGAGGGGCGATAATATGCATAACAAAGAGATCAAGGTCATTTTCATCTACCAGTAAAAACGAAGCATCAAGCGAAGCGCCTCTAGAAACCTCGTCCTGACCTCCAATCCATCTACTGCAACATTCTTTTACTAGTGAATGGTGGTCAGTTCTAGTGAATGGTGGTCAGTTCGAAGGAAAAAGGTCCTTGACATTTTGGTTTATCATTATCCTATTTTTATATATTACGTGTACGTAGTAGAAGGAGTGCCTGTACAATAAGTACTTTCATCCTACTTGGTAGGGGTTCCCCCAAGAAAAACCTATTTTCTTTAAATACTGCATTATCAAAATTATTTGTAAGTGAATGATCCTGAATCTAACATTGAATGTTGTCTTTGTCGTGTAGTACTGGGTAACAAGTAGAAAAGAGGAGGCTCAATGTCGACGAAGAACTAGAATGAAGCTGTAGTTCATAATCGTTCTTAATTCTTAGTAGTTGTATTCTCGGAAAGAAACATGTAAAAATATTCATCTTGACATCTCAACTTCTAGGACATCGAAGTTATATATTTATAATATCGTTATGTTTACAAAAATCTCTTCGAACTTCACAAAAATCTCTTCCCCGCATGATAGCTCGTCTTCGATAGTCTGCTATGTAGTTCTCGTCTCAAGCAAATTCTGTTGACGTTGCTCATGTTGCTGCGAATAGACTGCTCCATATCTTGGTGAACCGCTCACAGGCGAAGTGTAGTTTCTCGGTGCGTAGAGTTAGAAGTTCTTGTACTTCTTGTTCTGAGGATTACAGTGTATTATTTTTTGTATCTCAGATGCAGATCTACAACAGCTTGTCGTTGGTATCTTCTACGGTATCATCTTCACTTTTTAGATATTAGTGGTGACAGACAAGTAAGGAAAAGTAAATCCATATCCATTGGCCTTAATGATGTCCACCGCTGATGCCATGTCCTGCCTGGAGATTATTCGACGAGGAGCTTGAATTTCCAGCACTGCTTTTGCTACTACTGTTAGATGACCTTGCACAAATCCTTCTTGGTGAGCATCTCAGTGGCCGCCGGCCCTCCCTTGAAAAAAGGTCCGTTGAAAAACCGTCCGACTGAGATGCTGCCTGGGGAAGATCAAGATGGATTTATTCCATTTCCTCAAGCCTTAATACTAGGCGCACTAGCAGTTGCTTGATTGCTTCTACTACCGTCTTTTCCTCCGTGGCCGTGAACATGTTGACCTCCTGCTCCATGATGTTGGGAGTTGTACCCACCCCCGCCTTGCTGCTGCCCTTGCTGGTGCCCCTGCTGATGCGGATGCGCCGATGAACCGAGGAACTTCTGGCGGCTGGAGGAGTGAAGATTGTGCAGATAGTTGTGAAAGTAGAAAAGCTGGTCGTTCTTGATGAGTAAGAGTATAGATTGTCAGTCACTGCAACCGCATGGAGTTTCCAGTTCGTCCACCTCCGATCAAGTTTTTCAATTACAAAATAAAAGTTACTTAGTACTTTCGAGGTCCCTGTCTTCGTCCTTGGTGTCCTCGCCCTCGCATACCAACATTGCGAGGAATAGGAATTCCAGCACTGGTGAACCTGCAGGTTGTGTGAAAAATGGGTCGTGAACTAGGTGAGAGGAAGATAAGATCTTCAAAATGATTAGGTAGTACATCAACTTTCTTATCCACCATTGTACAACTCGTACACCTGACAAAAGACTAGAAGCAGTAGAAAATCAAAATAATAAGCTTAAGCTCTTAACTTTATTCGTTACTTTTTAGAGGAGCTTTTCGCGGTGATATCCTGACCTCCGATACAGCCTCACATTCCTCATCATCTGTTTTCCAAGTCCATCCTACATCCGTGCTATAAACTACAGCTCTGTTCATCTCCGAGTTTTAGGGGGAAGGTACTAATATGAAGATTATATGACCTTGTTTTTAATCTTGTGAAATATCTAATCTAAACATCCTACATCCACCGTTCTATATCTATAAAATACTCTGTTATAATAACTTCGGTACAGGTAGTGAACGTTGTTCTCGGTCTCCAACTCGGAATATCCTGACCTCCGATACAGCCTCACGAGAATCTGATAGGTGACATGACTGGGCTGCCCAATTCCTCCGGCAGCTGCCTCATCCTTCATCTCGTCGAAGAGGGCCAAGCCCGTACTGAGATCGTTAGCTTTCACGCAGCCATCGAGCAGGGAATTGAAGACCTGGTCGTGGTGAAGAAAAAGGACGAGGTCGGATCGGGGGAAATTTTTGAGCATTCATCCGTCCCGGATTTTCTAGTCCAGATGAAAAAGGGACTCCTGCTCATCGTTGAGCATGATAACATTCTTAAGGCCTTCTACCTCTACGTCGGTCTAGTAGGTCAAGAACAACATTCATAGTCTGACTATGAATGTTGTTCTTGACAACATATGACTGTCTCATATTAAGTAGTACCAGTTCATCTGGGTACAGTCCTCGTCCTTTCAATAATGCCATGTAATGCAAGGCTTTATTGAGGTCGCCGAGTTGGCAGAATCCCTTGATCAACGTTGAATACGTGATCAGATCGGGTTCGATTCCCGCTGTCTGCTCAAGTTCCTGGTACAATTCCTCAGCTTTCCCGCAATCATGAGCCCGTACAGCAACGTCAATCATCGAATTGAAGGTAATCGTGTTCACTGGAACTTGTTCGGCTTTCATTCCCCGTTAGAAAGAGTATTCGGAAACCTTCGGAAATAAGCAAGTTACAATCATACTTACAATTAAGCGCGCACAAAGTACAGGGCAGACTGCCTTAAGGGCGTCATAGATGTGATGGTATACACGATGGATCTCACGCAAAGATTGGAATGGCGAAGCGGTAACTGATAAGAATAACCGAGAAGATACTGAACAAGGAAGGGCTGCTTCTTGGAAGGGCTATTTCCCTTATTTCAGTCAGCAACTCGGTTATTTCAAGATTTCGAATAAGTGTAATTGAGGGGTAGTACGGAATTCTGAAACAAGAGAGTGCTCTAAGTCGATCCGAAGCGAAACTGAACTTTACTTTCTTCAAGAGTAGAAGATATTCATATCGAGGATAGAATGAGAAAGTAGGACCCAAGTATCAACATGTCATAATCATTAAACAACCCGATCGCTCCGTCCAGGTTCCTTGCCATCCCGTATCCCTTCATCAACGTCGTATAGAGAATCGTATTGTGGTGCTTGCCAATCCTCTTGATGTCTTGGAAAACGAACAGCGCCTTCTCGATGTCACCACATTTGACACAAGCGTCTAACATGCATCCAAACGTTACAGCGTTTGCGTTCTCTGTCAATGCTTCCTTCATCCTCTGCCACTCTCTCCAGACAGATTCGATGTCGCCAGCCTGAATATATTCATATGTTGAACAACAGATAACTACTTCTGAACTCGTAGATGATCTGCCTCTCATTAATTCAGTTCAGTATCAAAAGAATGAAGCCTTGGTTAGCATAGAAGTAAGTCTGGGTAGGGGTACCTGTCCATAAGCCTTCACTAATATGCCCAGCGTCACGGAACTTGGCTGGATGCCGTTTATCCTCATTTTCGCTAGAATGGACTCGAGCCTTGCCATATCCCTTGTTCTGCAGCAGGCGTCCAAAAGCGAATTGAAGAGGACTTCGTCGACGTCCTGAAAAGTTGGTTGGCGGAATGGCAGTTGTGCCTCTAGCGAGGTATCAACACTGACTGTGAGGATCTGTCTAGAAGAGGTGAGCAAAAATTTGAACACGGTTATCAGTAGTACCGCTGGTTGCTGTTGCACGAATCGCTCCACTACGTGAATCCCCCTGGCAAGTAGTTTAGGCTCGTTGTAGTGATTCACGGTCTTCATCAATATGCGCGAAATCGCAAACTTATCGCAGATCTGTGTTTCATCAGGTTCTTTTGATGTTCAACAAGAAAACATATATCATCAGGTTCTTTTGATGTTCAACAAGAAAACATATGATCTCCTAACAATAAAACCACGTAGGATATCTATATTAATTAGCTTTACAACTAGGTGGACTACCACTTCTACATCTACTCCTACCAAAATGAAAATCACTGTAACTCTAACTTGTACAATGTTCTTCATCTGCATCACTGTAACTCTAACTTGTACAATGTTATCCATCTGCATCTCCTCCAAAATTCGCCATGCATCCTCAACCCTCTTCGTCCTCACAGCTTTCTCCAACTGCACATGATAGTTCATGCTTTTGCCGTTCATTCCTGAGCCGTAGCCTCCGTCCTCGGCTGCTGGGGGTAGCAGATGAAAGTAGTTGTAGGGAATTTAATGAAGTTCTTGGTGGAGCATACCTAGTAACTAGAAAAAACAAAAACCGAAAAAAGAAACTAAGAAAGGTCAGGCAAGAACTTATCTGATGATTTGAATCTATTCGGCGAGCTGCCTAAGATTTCCCAGACGAGCTGCCTAAGAACTTATCTACTACTAATTTAATAAAGGGAGAAACAATTATGCTGACATCACGAGGACATGTCTACCCGTCCATCAAGTAGAATCTTGAGGCTAAGAAAAAAAGGGATCGAGGAATGATTAGGGATCCTTACTAAGTGAGGAGAGTAGACCACTATGTATTAAAGACTAGTGATGATGATGATGATGATGATGAACGAAGGTGTCAGGTGGCAAAGAAAAAAAGTACTACGGACAACTATCTAAAAATTTACTCTATGTCTATGTTACGTTTCTGCAGCTGAAGATTACAATTCGAATTATGAATGAATTAATGAATGTAGCACGTTGCAGTTCACCAACAACCCCGTTCATTGGAGCCCAGGCCCACAACATTTTTGGGTCCTCCGTAAATCTGTAGTGCACATCGGGAGGGGGGGTACCCTTTCCTTGTTCTCATGATGACATGTGGGACATACACGAGATGCCCACATTGCCGGGGGGAACTGCCATGCAAACATGCAAAACATTACGATTAGAATTACGATTCCTTCTCATAAGAAGCCGTCCTCGGCAGAGGTCCGCTGTTGTTGTATTGGTGTTGGTGATCCACGTTTCCAGGTTGGTCGTGGTGATGCACATGCATCATGTTGATGTTGTTCAGATGACTAGTATTTCCCGCCATACTAATATTATGTTAGAGGTAGGTTTTTGGTGCTCGCTTACCCCGCTTGTTATGCCTTTCTCCCTTAGGAGAGGCATAAAAAGCGGTAAGAAAAGCACCTTTAACCTACCCTTAATTATGATCACCTTGCATGCCTCCTCCTCCACCGCCACACGCTGCAGCAGAAGTGCTGGAAGTTATGTGCTGTTGTGGCATACTGTTGTACGAACCGCCTCCTCCAAGATTAGAGTGTTTTAAACAAAAATCATAATCTCTTAGGGTCATTTTCTCTGCTTTCCAAGAAGAAAACAGAGAAAAATATTTATCCTGTGGAAATGTCCATGTTGTTGACACTTGACATACATACATACATACATAGGAGCGTAGCCTTAACTAGACTCCCTCCACACGAACCCTGACCTTGATGTTCGAAACTTCCATTCTGTTGAAGGTGTTGACCACTCGAGGACCCACTTGACGAAGTCCCCATAGAGTTGGTGTATTCTACTTGGTCTCTGTACGGGTGTTGCTGCATTGAAAGGCCTTCATGTTGTCCTTGAAGATGGTGTTGATCATGTTGTGACCCGAATTGCTGCATGTTGTGATGCTGTTGCTGATGCTGCTGAGACATCTGATGCTGCTGCTGGTGTGACTGCTGCATCGCGTTGTGATGTTGGTGCTGCTGCTGATGCATGTAGTTATGCTGTTGGTGCATGTTATGCTGCATGTTATGATGCTGTTGCTGTTGGTGGTACGCGTTGTGCTGCTGTTGTTGATGCATGTTATTCTGGTGATGCTGCTGTTGCTGGTGCATATTATGGTTTTGCTGGTGAAGATGTTGGTGCTGGTGCATCTGCTGATGCATCTGATGTTGCTGATGCAGATATGCACTCTGTTGGGCAGCCAGCTGCTCTTGCTGCATCGTCTGATGTTGCGTGTTTTGCTGCTGCTCCTGCATTTGAGTGCCTCCACTTCCCTGTTGATGGTACGACGCCTGTTGCTGTTGTTGTTGCGGAGACCCCTGCTGGTGCTGTTGATGCTGCTGCTGCTGCTGCGTGTGGTGAGACTGAGAGTGTTGTTGATTCCCTTGCATTATCTGTTGTTGTTGGTGTTGTTGCGCTTGCATCTGCTCATTGGAGCTGTATTGGCCTCCGCCACCACCGGAGCTACTGGCACCATGTTGACTGTATTGACTGTACTGCTGCTGGTGATTTAGACTATTGCTGCCAGAACCTGCTGCACTACTCGAAGCACTGTTGCTATTGTTGTAATAACTATAGTTAGAGGTTGCGGAATTACTTACATTCTTCAGAACATCCCTGGCCTCTTTTCTACTAGGAAAACAAGAGTCGGGGATGGTAGTGAGGAATGCAATTTGGAAACCCTTAATATAGGACCCACCATGATTGCTGCTTTGTTGTTGATTTTGGCATTGAGGACCACCAGATCCAGATGAAGACGCAGATTGAGAATGCTGTCCTCTACCAGAACCGGAGGAATGATTTGGCTGTAGTTGATTGTTGTAATCAGAATCTGACACTGATGAAGAGTTGTTGTTATAGCCGTGGTTGTTCCTCTGCTCCTGAGATTCGCTTTGTCTCGAGGAACCTTTCTTGTTCACCGAAGAATTATAGCCTGGTGCTGCGCGCCGTGCGCCAAAGCTTCCGCTGCTCCCTCGACTTGGGCTGCTCCTGATAGGATTTTGATTTTTCTCATACCATGACCGAACAATTCTTCAGATCCTCTGCGTGTCGAAAATTTTTGTTGCCTCAACAAGCAGAATTTGTTCCTCATCGTCCTCGAAGCACACAGTAAAAGATAAACACTAGAAAGGCGAGGAGTGTAATAATTTATAGGGGTGGCAGGTCCAGGATGGGATCGATCGGATGGATCGGAATCTGATGGATCGGATGGACTTCCCACCATTTCAAGGAGGATCGGAAGATTTAGGGGGGTCCATCCGATCCGTCCAAGTCCATCCTAGTACATCCATCCTAGTAAATTATTCTAGAATTATAGATACCTTTGCGCCTTGCCACCTTTCCCTTTTTTGCCACTTCCTTGCTGTCTGTTGTTGCTATTTCCTTTGTTGGACCCAGCAAAAGACTGTCCTCGCTGATCCTGAACGAAAAGTTGGAAAAGATCAACACATCCATGTACTTCACATCAAAAACAAATAAAAATAATTAACGGAGGTTAAGGTAATTAATTCCTGATATAAGTAGAATCATATTTTTGAACATTATTTTCAAAGCAAGTTAGTAGGATAAACAAAAACAGTACCCTTGACGAGGTTCCATCCCGCCCGCCATACCCTTCCTGTCGATGACCATGTTGTCCTCCAGCATGACCACCTCCATACCCTCTACTTGACCCTCCGTTTCCACCAGCCCCAGCTGCCGTTGACGAGGAAAAATAGCTGTAGTCCCCGCACCTATTGGTATGAGGGTTAGGGTTTCTGGCGTTGGTGGAATCGGTGGAAGTCGAGTTATTCGAGAAGGTGCCGGAACTCGAATTCGCCACTTGGTTCCACCCGTTTAAGGGGTCCCCGAGTTGCTCAGAAGAGCCGCCCGTCATGGTGAAGATTTTTCAGTGCGTCGGGACGAGCTTGTTTGTAATATAATTCTTCCAGAAGAAATTATAGTTTTTAGATGAACAAGTGCCAAGTAGACATAGATTTCTGTGATCATGGTACTACTACTACCTTTACGTACTACTCAGCTTGTAACTTTTCAATTTTTCGTCCTTGTTCTTGCTCCTTGTTACCCTCATTTATTTCGTTTTCAGGTGCAAGACAAAGAGTGAAGTCTCGGTCTCATGTTGCGCAATGACAGAGAGCCACATTTTTACATAGTTTGCGACAGAAGACAGCCCGTATTTTCACTCGAGGACCGATGAAAGTGCCGACAATGATTCTACAATGGTGCTTTTGATGACGAAGACATGCGCAGACCGATCTTCTTCATCTAGGAACGACAAAAGGGAACGAAACCGGATGAAACATGATACCGAGTAGAGCTGCAGGACCCTGTTTGAACTACAATGTGAAAACAACTTGCTCACTACTGATGAAACTACAACCCGAAGGTTCGTCTTCTTTGACGCACGGTGATATTCGAGTTGGAATAGGGCTTTCTGTCCTCAACGTTAGAAGAAGAAGAACGTATGCGATTTGCGGATCATGATCATCTCTAACTTTCTTTACGAACGTTCTTCTTCTGATAATAATCTCGACTAGCTTTCTTCTAGATATCGCGACTAGCTTCGAACGTTCTTCAGAGATACGTTAGAAGAAGTAGAAGAGGCTAGAAGATCAGATCGTAATCGACATTAGAACAAGTAGAAGAAGAAGAAGTACGGATCATAAAAATTATCTCTGACTTTCTCTATCTTTACTTCTTTGCTCTATTTCCCCAGCGTTTTTGCTTTGTTTTTGGTGGGGGCTTATCAAGTTCGTCATCGTTGGGTTGCTCGCTTACGCTTTGGCCAGCAGTTGCGCTGTTAGTATTGAACACTATTTTCTCCAAGTTGAGCACCGGCTCACAAAACCTTACATCTTGTATCCGGAGATCATCATCTCCTCCACCTTGGGACTTTACCAAGTCTGGCGCAAATCGAAAGCCCGTCTGCGGATGACACTCTTCGCATAAAATCTTCGAAGATGATCCACCTGCTCTACGAGAAGAACTACGTCCACCCAAGTGGCGTATACTCCCTGGCGCGATTTCTTCGATCCTCTGCGCGATCACCTGTCTGTGGCATTCTCGCCAAGAGAACTCACTGCATAGAAGGGCAACGTTTCTTCCGGTAGATGATCCTTTGTTTGTAGATGAGGAGGAGGAGGAGGTGGATCCGGTAGATGATCCTTTGTTTGTAGATGAGGAGGAGGTGGAGGAACTGGATGCGTCGAAAATTCTCCCAGTTAATATTTCTCGAGATACTTCTTCTAGGTCCTCCAACCGCAAACCAAACGGTTGTCTCTGTTTCGAACGGACTTGACGTGAAGCTTCGTTGAACGAAGAGTGCTGTAGTTGGTCTTGTGCAGAAGCGTCTCGAAATCCGCTATTCAAAAGCACGCCAGATATCCTCAAAACTTCTGCGAGCATGGCTTTCCCAGATTCTTGTCGCAGGTTGGTAAAAATGCCACGAGCTGGAGGAGCTCCGTCGACACTACTTATGGTCCTCCCACCTCCGACAAAAGATGGCATACTATCAGCAGCATTCTCAGCTTGCTCGTCGTCCCCAGATCCAGATGAATGATGAGGCGCTCCTCCAAGTTCTGGCGCGTGGACGTAAGCGACCCCGCTTGCTTGTAGTTCTTTGGCGAAAGAGTCGCAGTTGAACTGTGGATTAGCTCTTGAATAAGGCGATGCTCGTACGTCGATGATGACGGTGATGTCGAAGGGTTGCAGGTACTCGTCGAGTGGTATGAAGAGGGAAAGGGTGGTATGAAGCCGGTGGGATGAAGTTGTTGGGTTTAATGAATGTGCTTCAATTTTTCTTCCAATGAAAAAAAAACCCTAGGATGTTCATGTGCTTTAGAGCCAAAGAAGTGTTTCTCTTCCTGCCATAATCAGGTCTTGGACCGAGTGCCGGCTGTGGCCCAATGTGTAGATCATTTTTGGTGGTTGTACAAGTAGTCAGCTAGCTGTGCTCTTAAGCTCTAAGTGGTCCAAGGGATGAAGGGATAGACTATCAACATGCTGAAAACCTTCTACAACTAGTTGTACTACAGGTACAGTCAGAGGACAGTATAAACTACGCTGCCCCCCCCCCTACTCAAAAATAGTAGTACAAGGCGAAGTTGTAATCCTACTACTTAGTCCAGCAAAAGTCGTGTCAGGGAAAATCTTCCTGTAGAGTTTGGTACAGAGTCCGGGAACATTCAGACCGGGAACATTGAGAAGATCGGGAACATCACACCGTATGATCGAGGCACGTCTTTGTTCTTGAACTGAGGAGGAGTGCAAACCGTGATCGCCTCAAGTACAGGAGGAGATCCAAATGGTACCTTCTCCTGGTTAACGACTGTGTCGATGCCATTATTTGCGTACGTGAACGTGATTTTCAATTACTGCACTTTGGCAAGAAAAGTTGAAGTTTCTGTTTTGTGCTTGTGGAGAATGCAGTGGTGTTTCTTTGATGCGTAGTTATGTTTGTACTACTACAAGCGCTATCGTGGTGGCTTTGGTCGCAACTTCTTGTTTTGACATATTTCATCATCATGCCTGATTCTCGATCAACCGTGTGAGGACCGTAGGCATCCAGCTGTGCTGGAATCAATTCGTGGTCCTTAGTTCTTGTTACCCAAACAATCTCATAAAAAAAGAACTTGATGTTAGCTGGCTGATCTAGATGTAGATTTCGCAATTGCAGCGTCGCTTACGTATCATACACGAATTTGTCAAGTCATCCGCGTTTATTCTAATAGACTACGTATTCAGTACGTAGCACTAGCACTACATCCATCTTGTCATTCTTGATTGAAAAAAGTCCTTGTTTCGATAATACAACGATGAGTCGCATTCGTATTGACGAAAATCTTGATGATTCTTAGGCTGAAGTTACTAACTTGATATAGTACAACGTATAGATGTGGTGAGAAATGCTGCTGGAGGGAATACAATTATTGTACAAGAATTATTGACTCCTGCAGCAGTCTCTCTTTTTTACGGATGATAATTGTCTTTTGAATCTAAATGATACCCTTCCACTGGTTACAAATGGAACAAATATGGCCTTTTCGTCGTCCTCGTCTTCAAAACCCTTCAACCCCTTTCACATTTACTCCCAAAGAGGTAGCGAACAGGCGCATATCATCGCGAGTATGGAAGCAGGCTAAGCCGAGGTCGATCAAGTTGCACCAACCTTGGAGTGTCAAAAAGCTGCGTTCTTCGTGTTGGTCGTCAGTTGCTAGAAAGGCTACTGCGAATCCAAAGTCCTCCATACTCTCGCTCGGTGAGAGTCCGCGTAAAACCGTCAACGGGTAGCTCGCTGCATCAAAGCCGTTGCGGAGGAGCTGATTAACTTCAATCCGGCATTCGCCGTCTCTCCGCTTCTTAGAAGAGATCTTCTGTTCTCAGGTACTTATAATCGGAGGAGAGTAGTTCTCGGGGATAATCGCTTCGAAGATCAGTTCTTTTCGCGTATAATTTTCCGATGAAGAGATCATCTTCAGGTACTATAATAATGTCTAAAAATTTACTTCTCAAGAAGGAGCTCCTGGCAGCTAGTTTACTTCTCAAGAAAGAGCTTCAAATAACGAATCTATCGTGGCCCGTAACTTCCTCTCCAATCTGCGACGCCATTGATCGAAACTCCCTCTTTGCCAACTCCACTATCTGCTCTTCTACGTATGAGCTCAAAGTGTTTGCTGTGGTAGATCTCGTTGAAGACGCAGTAGATGGTCGCATGCCACTCGATGATTTTGGCCTATTTGCCAAATCCCTTGGACTCAGAGGCGCATGCCCCGCACTTGTGCTGGAAGACGTCGAACTGCCTTTGCCTCTCATGTCATCTAAAAGGCATTGGTACTCCATACCACCGTCTTTGTCGCTTCTGAGGGTTTTGAAAACCAGATCGGCGTCTTCTCCGGTTAGGCCTAGGCCTAAAGATCTATGCAGCCTTGTCCATTGCGACTTGTGAATAGTGCCATGTGACCGATCGTCTTTGTCCTGCAAACCGGAGATAAAGTTGATCCAGCCTTTGAGGCCTGCAGGTTAGAAGATAGAGAGAGGGAAGGGAAGACGACCGCGAGACAGGAACAAGAAGTTGTTTTCATCCCACAAGAAGTACAGGTTCGATTAATATCCTTATCGATAGTTCGATTATCGGTACTGGATCCTCATCTGTACAGCAACATGCAGTAAAAAGAAGTAGAAGCACCAGCCAGAGTCGTAACTCTTACTCAGCACATTCCTCAGTCTCTGCACGATATGGGCAAAATAATCGTCCGCATTATGCAGCCTAGGTTGTCGAAAGAGCATCGGCTTCACTTGTGAGGACTCAAAAGTTGGCGAACTTGGCAGCTTGGGTCCCCCCGGCCCGCGTGGGGATCCTGGCGCTAATGGTGCGCCGCTGCTTGAGGTTCGCCGCTTAGAGATTGCGCGTAAAGATTAAGATATCCTTGAGTGACGTCGGTGTAGTGACTGTGAGTGTGAGTGTGAGGACATTGATTAATAACATGGTCGGATAAAAAGCAGACTCTGACTCACAATGGAAATATTTTGCTATAATTTCCTTTACAACTACACAGGAACAAGTCTAAAAAGTCATTTTATTCTACTTAGTACTTTTATTCTACTTGCCAATACTTATCTCTGACTCCAATGCCATAATCGCAACTCCCGTACCAGGTGCCAAACCAGCCGAAGTGTGACTGTAATTGGGGTATACTTCTACGTGTTCTAGCTGCTCCGGTTCATGCAAACCCCACATTCTTCGAACTACCACGTCAAAGTAAGCGTCTGTGTCGATCATTGCGGAGTAGAACTGTGGTGCGGGTTGAGGTGCTATGGGGAAACGAAGGAATTATGGTCAGGGAGGACGACGAAGTGAGTAGAAGCGGAGGAGGAACGGACAATAAACCACAGTTGGTTCCTATTAACATGTAGTCGTGTAGAACGGACAACAAAAAGAGTCTGTTCTTGCAGCTGGAACAAGTAGTAGTTGACTTCGTCGTTGTAGAAGAAATAAATGCAGAAATGCAGATCACATGAAGTATTAAAAGTACCTCAAAATATCCTCTGAAAGTCTCGAAATCAATCGTCCCATTCTCCGTCAATGCACCAAGAACGTTCACATACAAGGAAAACGTGTCTAAGAATTCGCTCGTGAGTTGTCTTGCAACCTTACCCTTTGCATGTTCGTCACCGGGTTCTCTCCGATTAGATGTTGATGTATGAAGATACTGGTGGTCCTCGCTTGAACTTGAAGATCCTGATTTTAGTAAAAAATTTTTTTTATAATAAAACAGAATAAGATGAAGGAATATTGACCACCTCGTCATAATCAAAACTTCCGGATGGTGGTCAAACGAAACGCTCTCCTTCAGGGTTTGTGGTGTTACCTGAGCCCCAGCGCTACCTGCCACGTTCGCCCAAGCTTCGTAGACAACTTCGAGTCTGGAACTTTTCATAGGTGCGCCAAATAGAGCCTTGAGAAACGTAAAGACTGGAAGAAGCACTTCATCACCTGACGCTGCTGGCGGATTTGAAGAAGGAGGTAAATGGACGAAGTGGAGGGAGCGAAGGTAAGGGAGCTCTAAGGGAATGGAGGGGAGGATCAGGAATCTTATTAAGCGGTTGATGAAGCAAAATGATGAATATCAATCCCCCGACGTGCTGCTGTTACCTTTACCTATGTATATCATAATATTAATAATTAACCCTCTATAAAGAAGTAAATCATAATAGTAATCCTGCTCAAAGAAGATGAATCTGAACAATAACAATTGTTCTTTAATAGTTTCAATTCATCAAATCATAAACCCCCTGCTTGCGTTTTCTTTCCCAGCAGTTGAAAGATGTCTGCTTCTTCATCGTTCGTGAAGCGCAGGCCTGCTTCTGTGCTAGCTCGGCGAAACTCGGTCCGGTCGATCAGGTCATCGACGTTATCATCGGCCAAAACATAGCTTTTGACGGTATCCATTGCCATACGAATGCCACCTTTTCTCGACAAATATTGAGCAGCTTCGCGGAAAACTTGCTGTAGTGTCATTTTTTAAGAAAAAGCATCATCATTGAAGATGTCTGTATATGTGCTACTGCTCGTAGCTGTTACCAATGAATCCCTCCTCCTCTCGGCATAGTCACTGCACTACACAAGCAGACCAACCCCCTACGGTGGCACATCATTGCGCGCCATAAAATTGAGGCGCCGGGGCTTGTTAGGCCACAACTCCCACAACTCAGGAAACAACTCCCACAACTCAGGACACAAGTCCCACCGCTTCCCCTTTCGCGGGAGAATCGGCGGACAAATGTCGTGACGATTTCATAGATGGTTGGTCTTCCTGATATCCCCATTTAAAAACAAATTATTGAGTATTCGAAAAACTGAAATAAGCAAGTAACTGATCAGAATAACCGAGATACTGATGAGAAGGAAGAGTAGCCTTGGCGTTAAGCTACCTCCCTTATTTCAGTCAGTAACTCGGTTATTTTGAGTTTTCATAGATGGTTGGTCTTCCTCTTCCTGATATCCCCATGTAAAAACAAGAAATTAAATTGAGTATTATATCGGTAGAGCACACCTAACTAGAAAACAAAAAAGTCAGGTATTCCAAAGTATTAAATTGAGTATTATTAAAATCCAAATCGTACCTCCAAATTCGCCACATACCCAACGTTTCTGTACGTATGGTTGTCGATGAGCGTGTCCTGTTGCCAATGGTGCAGGTCAACCCGATGTTTGGCTTTTGCTCCAGCCGCAGGCATAGAGTCTTGCAGGGCGAATGCCTTTTTATCCTTGTCCACGTCCCATGTGCGCTCCAGCATACACGTGAATAACGAATCATCGGTGAAACAACCGGAAACGGTTCGGGATTAGAGCAAAACTAGTACAATAGACAATTATTCATCTCGCAGAAAGTTCAGTGCAGACTGCCTTAAGGGCACATACTCAATAAAACGAAAAGGAGATAGTAGAGAGGAAATAACAAGAGATGACGAAGGTGGTATATTTCGATGTTCTAGTTATCCATCGGATAGAGGTCTGCGAATCCTGAGTGTGACTTCTGTGAGTGCCTACTTACTATGTATGGTTCTGGTATTTGGTAACCTGAGTTTGATCCTAAGGGAAAGTGGTTCATCCCTCACTCTTCCATAATTGTAATAGTCCTCGAATTCTTCCCACGGTATTTTACTGCCTGCTGCTGACCCCGAAGTTAGCATCCGGTTCAACGCAGAAGCAGACTGAGCGTCGCCTAATGGAACACCACGACGGAAAGCGATAAAGGTCTCAAACGAATCCACGAAAGTTTGATACAACACCTCTGATGTAGCCGACCCCATGATGGCGTAAGGATGGCTGGAGAGGAGTGGTGGAGCAGAGGGCTTTTATTCGCAGTGGAGAACCGAAAGAAGCCGACTAGTACATCTAGTACTTACAACTACTGGGCGAAATAAAGCAAGTGGATGTGGATCTAGATTCTTTTTCTTGAACTAAAAACAACTACATGTAGTTTACTTCAGTCATTAGAAGTACCGACTCGCGTTGTAGACCTCAGCCATCGTTCTGAAATCGACGAAGGCTTCACCCTCATGGTCTAGTTTCCGATATGCTGCCCTCACTGCGTGGCGACGAGCTTCATTTAGTGGGATCTTCAGCTCTGCTAGGAAGTCGTCATAGGAGATCAGATCGCGCTCGTACCTTGTTTTCTATTTGTTCAGTGGGGTGTCGTGGTGGGTGATTCGAATCTATTGGCGTTTCGTTGTTTACTACAGTCCAAGTAGAAGTACGGATCAGCCCATACAACGCACCAGATGAATAAAAGAAGATCCAAGTAGAAGTACGGATCAGCCCATGCCGGTAATATGTACTCGCAATCTAGTTTGATATTTTCCTCGTTTCCCCCATTGAAACAGGCTTCCCGGAGGATCTCTGACATGATGTCAAGTGGCAGCACTCGTTGATTCTCGGTGTCTTGGAGGTTTATGCTCAAAAGCAGACGCATCAAGCCCATTACTCCTTGGGGATAAAGGAGCGAGCGGACGGTGGAGTATGAAGAGGGGTAGTGGATTGGAAGGGGGTAGTGGATTTACTCCTATAATAAGTTTTCCATACCTTCAAAAACCGATCCATCGTCTTCACATCCATTTTTTCCTCTCTTTTTGCTTTTCACCACCAAAAAGACCCCAAGACATTCATTATCGATGATATCACGGTTCTGTTGATACTGTGGGTTATCAGGAGTTTATTTCCAATTCCATACCTTCAAAAACTGATCGACCGTCAGGACATCCATCGCACTCGGAGCTACGCCGCCGCTGTTGACGCTCGTCTTGCCCTGTGCTGCGTTGTAACTACCACGTGGGGACTTCGGTTGACAGGGACGTGCGGCAGCGGAGGCCCATGGTGAGGCAGCCTGTGTGTGTGTGTGTGTGTTGCGAATGTTTTGAATCAGCGAGGGTTTCAAATCACTTAAACAGAGTTTAGCAATCAAATCCAAGTAAATACATTGATTAGAAATTAATTGCAAAATGTGTCAGGGATGATGTTGAGGATGGTCCAACGGTTGCCTTAATTTACGTATCTGAGACCTTGTAATGGTAGCTCATGTCGTGAAACGATTTTTGCTCAGCACAAATAACGTTTCTTCTGGAGGTACTAGTGCCCTTCTTCATCTTTCTGATCAAACTACAACACCTACATCTACAAGAAAAAGCGGGGGTCATATCATAAATATACATTTAAGGTTACTAGAACTCACCTCCTCCCCAGCTCCTCGTCCATACGCGGCATGGAACGGGAGGAGGTGAGTTCTAGTAACCTTAAATGTATAATCATGTTCTTGTCATCCACTGGACACTCCTGCCGTGCCATCTGCCACAACTACTCTGACCACCAGCCGCACCGATCCATCCGGTTCTCCACAGCCACACACGCCACTTAACTAGCTAATTTAACTAGATAATTAAAGGAAATAGCTATTTTTCAATAGGATTTACAATAGGATAAGAATTTTTTGTGTTTTTGAAAGTGAAAGAGCTTTCCCGTTTGATAAAGGTTACTAGAACTCACCTCCTCCCCAGCTCCTCGTCCATACGCGGCATGGAACGGGAGGAGGTGAGTTCTAGTAACCTTAAATGTATAATCATGCTCTTGTCATCCACTGGACACTCCTGCCGTGCCATCTGCCACAACTACTCTGACCACCAGCCGCACCGATCCATCCGGTTCTCCACAGCCACACACGCCACTTAACTAGCTAATTTAACTAGATAATTAAAGGAAATAGCTATTTTTCAATAGGATTTACAATAGGATAAGAATTTTTTGTGTTTTTGAAAGTGAAAGAGCTTTCCCGTTTGATAAAGGTTACTAGAACTCACCTCCTCCCCAGCTCCTCGTCCATACGCGGCATGGAACGGGAGGAGGTGAGTTCTAGTAACCTTAAATGTATAATCATGCTCTTGTCATCCACTGGACACTCCTGCCGTGCCATCTGCCACAACTACTCTGACCACCAGCCGCACCGATCCATCCGGTTCTCCACAGCCACACACGCCACTTAACTAGCTAATTTAACTAGATAATTAAAGGAAATAGCTATTTTTCAATAGGATTTACAATAGGATAAGAATTTTTTGTGTTTTTGAAAGTGAAAGAGCTTTCCCGTTTGATAAAGGTTACTAGAACTCACCTCCTCCCCAGCTCCTCGTCCATACGCGGCATGGAACGGGAGGAGGTGAGTTCTAGTAGCCTTAAACTAGAGTAGTTTATAGAACGGATGTAGGATGGACTTGGATGGATCGGATGGAACGGGTGGACTTTCCACCCTGTCAAGGAGGATCGGAAGAATCAGGGGGGTCCATCCGATCCATCCAAGTCCATCCTACATGCGTGCTATAAACTACTCTGATTATACATTTAAGGTTACTAGAATTCACCTCCTCCCCAGCTCCTCCTCCATACGCGGCCCCAACAGGAGCTGCACTCGAGGACATCATTTTCCTTACACTGCCGTCCACAATCGCTCTAGCAAAATATCTGATGTCCATTAGTTCATCCGAGTCTTGGCAGTATCTGTGATGAACTCCTTGTAAAAGTCTTTCGTCGGCGCCGGGCGTTAGAAGATGGAGAAGATAACTCATTCATTCACCTGTTCTGGAGGTAGCAGCTATTGACGCACTAAGCAGCCAATATTCAATACACTAGATACTTTTTCTTATTTGGAAGTCCAAGTCCTTTTGAACTTTTCTATCAGTAGATCGGGGTCGCATCTATCATGTGAGAAGTGGAAGGGGTCGCATCTATCATGTGAGAAGTGGAAGGGGTCGCATCTATCATGTGTTCCAGTGGCGCGCTTTTGCCGAGAAGTAGGAGGGGTCGCATCTATCATGTGTTCCAGAGAAACAAATGGATGTTAAGTCTGCGCCTGTGCCAAAAACTAGTCGGAAGTAGAACAAGTAGACAACATCTTCCTAGGGGTAGATGAAAAACAAAAGCAAATAAGTCGTCAAAGTCAAAAGCCAAAGCCTCTACGTATTTCATAATATCGCATATTGTTCCATCGACTTGCGGAAAGCGGGGTAGCTCAGCTTCCCACAGTTTTGCAGATCGTAGTAGCGCAAGTGCTTCGCTATAGCCGTCTCCGGTTGCGAGAGGCATTTCGCTTTAAAGCGATTTACGATCTGCTCTTCGAGAGCGTCCATTTTTTTATCTTGTTTATTAGAAAATTTCAGGTCGTCGGTCGTGGAGCTTATTTGGATTTTTTTTAGTTAGGTGGAGTAAAAAATGATAAATGTTAATGTTGATTGAAGAAAATGACGATCATCTAGGATATGCCTCTTCATTTTTTGTAGTTAGACTTGCACTCGTCAAATCACGACCGCGTCAAAGTGAAGGAAGTGTTTTTTTTCGCTTATAGATTTGCTTTTGGTAGTATGCATAGCACGCTTCGCATTTTTTCATCCTAGTGTCATAGTCATTGAGCTAGCGACACTCACAGCCTGCAGCTTTACTCTTGCTCTTATTGCGCCACTTGCTTTTTCGCCACTGCTCCACCAGCAGGTAGGAGCATCGAAATTCCCCTACTCGCAGTACAGGCAAGAGCTACTGTCATTGAACACTAGAAAGCCGATTCAGACGGACAGGTTTTTGTCACGTAAGCCCAGTTTGTTTGCGTCAGCGTCTGTTTGACTTTTCTTTCTTTTTAGTTTTACTTACATTTGTTACAGGAATGGAGATCAGCTAAACCTTATCCGTTATCTTCCGTCCTGCGTATATCTTGGAAATGTGAGGGACCACCAGTGGAAATGAGCAAAGATCGACCAGCTGATGCCAGCCAATATCATTTCATCTCCCATAAATATACAAGCGCCTGTGTTCTTATTGCCCAAAATTATTCATGTACAACAGCTGTTTCCGTGCCAGTTGTTACCAAGTTCTTACGTAGACGCGACTGGATCGTTAAGTTTCAACGAGAATGTACGACCCTGGGAACTCACTTGTGCAAAACTATGCCCTCGCAAGCACCTTGCTCGCGTAGTTAATTTTATTTGGATATGCTCAACTACAGCCGTAAATCCGTTGCTGTTACACTTGCGCGATTAATGACAGACAATTCAATTCACTTGTGACGAATGGTTAAGAATCGGAAACACATCTGCTCTGCTATGCATCAGTAGAACTGTTAAATTTTCATATTAGTAAGTACTCTTGGAAGTAAGTAGCTTGGTCTCAGCCTAAATAATCAATATCGAAACTCTAGTTCATTTTTTATGAGTTAATTTCAAGAAGTCCATGTCCATGATGTCTACTTTCTGACGACGTTTTTCATGAAGTCCATCTGTTCTGCGAGCTTCGTTACATCAGTACTCGACACCGCATGCAGTGCTAAGTCCTTCCTTGCTGCGTGGAGACCTCGGAGACGATGATTTGAAGTGGATTCAGAGGAGAAGATAATCAATCTCAAACATGATTCTGGCGGACTACGTTTACCACGTTTTTGCATTGTTCGTTGTACGATAAAAAAGATCCAGATCATTCTGTTTGAACAATTCATTGAAGAAAACGTGTACGGTATATATAAGAAGGAGTCGCGAAATAGAAGTACCTCTCCTATGAAATGCGTCGTTTTGGTAGCTGTCGATGTAGAGCGACTGGCACTTATGCGCAAAAGGGTGGCCAAATAGCGTTTTCACGTTTTTCGAATCCCTCTGATTGCTATAACCAGACTTGGCGTCTTTCCTGTTTTGTTTTGGTCCTGAGATGGGATGGTTCCTTCCTAGTGGTCTGGTTTATTTCGCTTGGTGGGAGGGCAAGGACATGGACATGGAGACATGGACATGGAGATACTTCAGGAAATATTCGTTACTAAGCTACTCGAAAAACTGAAATAAGCGAGTAACTACTGGAAATAAGTGAGATACTGAACGAGTAAGAGTAGCCCTGTCAAAGCTACCTCCCTTATTTCAGTGAGTAACTCGGTTATTTTCAGTTTTCGAGTAGACCTAAAGATGGTGTTGAAGAAGTGGATTCTTTGTTTTAGTCGCGCGATCACGATGAGGAGTGAAAATTTAAATCATGATGGTCTTGGTGTGGAAGTCCTCTTCTAGAAGTAGAAGTTGTATCCATCTTAAAAGAGGTTCGAATGAATCGGAATACACTTTCCTTTTTGGTGAGTATCGTTTTCTGAGGAAGTCGCAGGCGTGGCTGTAGTCCGTTTTCTGTGCCGTTTTACTGTTGTCGAATTGATATTCCTCCATCATATAGTATCGGTTGAACTCGGTGTTGCTTTGGACCTGTAGTTTTGAGCATGGACTTATGTTCATGCTATTGCTTGCACATGCGGATTCCACGCATGCAAGCATTCTGTAGTAGAGAGGAACCTGAACACAACTTTCAGTTGGTCTTTAGTACATGTAGCGGTGCACTGGCTTTCATCCGCATTCTGTTCATGTGGGCGCCGGGTGACAGCAACCGAGGCTGACTCGGCTCCGAGGTACCCCTCGAAGAAGCAGGCATTTTTTGTTCTGGCCTGTTGGAGATGAAGCTCCTCTACTTCTTTCTTCTAGATAGTCAGTCTAAAAATCCAGAATCTAAATTAAAATTTGTGATTTTCATGTTTTAAGTGATGATCCACCGTCTCACAAACCTGACACAGCCACGATTCTACTATTCTACTCAGGCGTCGAAGATCGAGAGCATGACACACATATAATCCGACAACGCCGGTCTTCTTCCGAGTGAAAGACGGGGAAGCGGAAGACACGAAACAGCCATCAACTGTAATGCTGGCCAAGTCGCGCCAAGCAAATGGCTCTACTTATCCATACTGGTGTTGCTCACATAATTTTTCCTTTATGCAGCTACGTACAATCATCTGAGACTGTAACTGTATGACATATGATGACGCATCATTGTAGTTCGTCATCATATGTCATACAAAGACCGGCTTCTCAAGAAAACCTTCCTCCAAATTCACCCCCCTCTTCTCGGTGAAGCCCTTCCTTCTTTCTGCACATACACCCTGTGCCTCACTTGTTCACATAGACTTGGCAGATCTCCTGAGCCTGTCAGTAGATCCCGGATCCCCACATCTGGATCCGACACGACGCGACCTGCCCTCACATCGAACTCGAATTCGTCATGCTCATGTTCCCCTCCTGCGCCAGCACTAGCTACGCCATTATTAGAGCTTCCTGGAATCCATCTTGAGTGTCGCTTTTCCCTTAGGCTTGCTTTTCCCTTAGAGGAAGGTCCCAGGATGCCTCTGGAGATGGATTACCTGAAGCCTTAACATTAGTACCAGGTCCACCAGCAGTAGTTGTAATCTTCTTCTTCCAAGGAACATGGAGTCGGACGCCGGCCAAGTTGACAGTCAGCCCACTGGAGTCTAAGCCGGTGACGTCGAGGCCGAGGTGACGGTTTTGGGCTACATATCTGGTCGTGTCAATAAATTGCTACTTGAGTGTTGATGTTCTTGTGCACATAGTGAAGAAAAATCGTGCAGTTGTAGTTTCAGGTACTCCTGAGTTGTAGGGTACACCATAATCAAGAACAAAGTAGTGGAGGACTTCTCAAGTAGCTCTATTACAAGTTTTTAGGCTAATATGATCAGCCACAAACAAGATCATTTCAAAAACAAGTTATAATATATAAGTACTTCTGTCTCTCCTTCACCAATTCGTCTTTCATATCTCGCAACTCTTTTCGCTTCATCAAAATCTTCTTCAATTCTTCTCGCTTCAAGCTTGCATGTTGAAACGTCTTCTCCAGTTTTGACTCATGGGATGACAACTCCAGAGATTCCCTTTGTAAAGCTTGGAGACGTTTTTCTTCCTCTGCGACCTGGTCTTGGAGCCTGTGTCGTTCTTGGTCCAGCCTTTGCTGAGCTTCTTGTTTGTCAGCGACAGCTTGGGCGTCGGGAGGGGCGGTGGGGGCAGCTGCAGGTGTACGAATGATAGAAAATAAGAAGTGATAGATGGGGGCGAATGTTGAGTAACAAGTGCAGAGCAGGAACAAGTCGCTTGAGTAGCAGTAGACTAGTACAAGTTACAGTAGTACTATCATGAGTAGAACAAGTACTATCATGAGTTCTTTCGTGTGCAAATTCATTGGTAAAAACCATTAAGAGCAGCTAGTAGTCAAAGTACAAAGATGATCAAAGTGATACTACATCAAACCTCGACTACCTCCTCCAGCGTCTTTCGCTCTCAAATCCGCCGCATGTATCTCGTGTTCCAGCGCTGCTGCGCGTTCATGAAGTTGCGCGATTGCTGTACTTAAAGGGCAGCAGTCAGTGGTCACTGATGTTGAACGGAAGAGACCACCTTCAAAGCTCTCCCCTTTTCCCTTCGTTTATTTCCCCTGTTGGTTCTCTCAACCTCAAGAAGGGGTCGCCTCTTCCAATCTAAATGGTGACTCCAATCTAAAAATAAATGGTGACCACTCAGTAACCAACCCCAATGTATGACGAATGAAATGATTGAGCCTTAATGTACTTGCTTCGTTCCTTTGCCGAATAGCACTGCCTAGTTCGTCGCGATCCCTGGTCTGGGTTTGCTCTAATTCCGTCGATATCTGAGCTATTCTTGCCTCAATCTGATTACCGGCTTGCTGAATTTTCCGGGCTGCTGAAGTAGATGTGCTAGTAGCATCATGATCTTCACTCGTTGTATTCGAAGATGAAGATGAAGACGAAGATGCAAAAGCTTGTAACAAAGCTTTAACACCATAGTCGTGATGATTCACGACTTGTCTTTCTGCTAATTTTTCGACCCGTTCTGCTTCAAATGTGGCGCTTTCGAGTAGTCGGGAGGAAGAACGACTACGGAAGAGACCATTGCTTGCACCTCCATTAGAAGCATCAGGATTACTTGTTGAAGAAGAAAAAGAAGTTGCTCCTTGGAGGATGCGTTGTTGTTGTTGTTGATTATTTCCAGTTCCACCTGCCTTATGTTGTTCCAATAGCGACACAGCAGCTGTTACTCTTCGGCCACCAGCGGGGGCAGGGGCTGTGCTGCTACTACTCCCACCTCCGCTTGCCGTGTTGGTACTGGGTCTCGGAGCCACGCGTCCTCCGGTCACAGCGTCACGCGCCGATTGGAGTCGGACATCGTAACTGGTACGTGCATAGGGAGCTGGCGCTGCTGCTGCGGAGGAGGAGGTCTTGTTCATGGTTGATGACGTGGAACTGGCCACACCTTGACCTCCTCCGGTGCCTATCTGCTCTTTCTGAGCGAAGAAAGAGCTCGTGCGACGATCCATCTTTTTGTAAAAATCAAAGTTCGTTTCAGAAGATGCTTATGGCAGCTTATTCTTAGCTTGATAGAAGAAAGATACTTGTTATGTCTTCTACTAGACAGTTACACTACACTTGTGCACGAAGCTATGTTGAGTCATACTTTAGTCTTTTGGATCATTTGGAGATTGCAGAAAAAGTTTCTTGTGTTGCGGAATTTCACTCCTGGATCGATCAGCAGCGCATCACAAATTTAACGACAACGATAAGGACGACAGGAAACATCGAGGGCGAACCAGGTACGAGAGCAGGTCATTTTCCACAGACGAAGCTGTGGCCGTGTAGTTAAATGGGTGTTAGTAGTTCTCTTTGTTAAATTTTTCTCTATTTCACGTGTCTTTACAACAGCTCTGCTATCCAAGTCTTTTTCGCCATCCAAGCCTACTGCGTTTCTTGAAGACTATTTTTCCCTTATGCAGTATCTTCTGTCACTTTTCACACGTCCGCCGTCGCGCGGCTAATTGCCCTGTAGTAAGTAGTCAAATACGGAACATACAACCTCCTCTCAATCAAAACGAATAACTCCCGTAGAAACTCAGTCATCTTCATCTCCTGGTGGCAGAGGTATTTCTGGCGCTTTTGCTGCTGTGTTGATCGTCACTGCCTCGGCTCTTCCTAGGATTTCCACTATCAAGTGTATTCTTTCTGTAACCGCAAGTTCCACGGGTAGATCTCCGACACAACGCCCATTCCAATAGACCTTGAGAGTGCCGTCTGGTCGGAGAAGCAGCCCTATCCTGTTAGGGTTGCGAATGTGATCCGTGGGATTGGGATGGAGGATCTGTCAATGTTCAACTACAACATCTACATCTTCATTTTCACCTAATTATTCTAGATTGTTCATGAAGTACTATTAAACATCAAATCTTAAAGATGGCAACCATGCAACTACTACGTACAAGAAACTGTAACATGTACATGTCGTAATGTTTATTGTAGTACTAGTACTACCTATCTCCGTCTTTCATCAACGCATAGGAATCCCAGTCTGGAACCTTAGAAGTAGTATGTTCACTGGCGAATCCATCCACTAGTGTCTCCTTGGGTATTCTCCACAAGTCTCCATACACGTCTAGGACCCAACTGTCTGGGACGTGGAAGATGCTGCGGCAATCTGAGGACCATATCAAGTATGGAGGAGGACAGTGACAGAGACGAGGGAGGAGTTTGTAATGATGTAAGGAGTAGACTGCAATCGATTGAGAAGAAGGATTAGCTCTGCTGCATGTAGAATCAAAGCCAAAAGACCCCAGCAGCGGACAACTGACTAAAGAAGTTTGTAACTGCAGGTGAGGCCATCTTCAGGCGATTGATGGAGAGGATGACAGTCGTGACAGAGGAAATTTTCCTGGTGCTTGTGCAAGGATCTTAGGCCCTAAGGTTTCACAGCTCGCATGGCACGGAGTGCATGGATCGCATGGAGTAGCATGGAGCTAAAGGGGGAGCTTCTTGCGCCCCTTAAAGCTCTGCGCTCCATGCACTCCATGCTACTCCATGCACCATGCGTGCTATAAAGTAATAGGGGTAGTTGACTACAGTTGGCGTCTCTAGCTCGCTATCCCTTTCCTACTTGAAGAAGCCATAGCGATGCGCATAGATGATAGCGATAGGTCAACTTCTAACCCTTATTAATAATTGTGGTGGAGCCGACCTAACTAGAAAAATGACAGACCAGAGGAAGATAGAAAAGAGAAAAGGGCCATCCAGAACTGTAGTGTGGATGGACGAACTTCATTATACGAGGTGTATCTGTATACGGATGAACTACAGTTCTGATTCCATTGCACCTATAAAATCGCTGGTAACTACTAACAATTCGCCAGCCCAGTAGAGGGGGGCACACTCCTCTACACACTACTCATGCGTTGCCTACGCTCTTCTTTTAGTCACTCTTACTTACTCTTTTGACAAAGAGGTGGGTGTCAATAATGAAGGTCGTCCATCCAGAACTGTAGTTCATCCGTAGATACACTACTTACGGTTACACGTCGGTTACTACTTCCGGTAAGTTAATACGGATTACTACTTAGACGGTATTCATACGGATACACCTTACTATACTACTTACGGTTACTACTTACGGTATTCATACGGATACATCTTGCTATACTACTTACGGTTACGGAACTGTACCATCCGGATAATCTTCCTTCGAACATCTCGTAAGCCCAACAAGTATCCCACCTGCATGATAATCTGACTGCGTTGCTCGCTCACCGTTTTGTGAATATTAGAACAAGATTCATTCATTCATTTACCTAGCATGAGGCGTAAGTTCAGGACTTAATTAGGATACATCATGGAAGATGCAAGAAAAAGAAACTTATTGGGAACGTCGATACGGGAACGTCGTTCCCCCTTTGCCTTCTTACTTAGGAACGATAACGAAATTCCCCACCTATAACTTCGACAACTCTCAATCTCAATAAGTGGCATCATCATGATGCACAGTAGTACATCAACAACTACTAGTAGTACAACGAGGAAATATTAGTATACAACAACTAGTTCTACTTAAGGCCGCCGCCGCTCCACCTCCATAATTCAATATGACCTCCGCATATCTGCCTTCGGCAAAGTTTCCGAGTTGCTGCTTCCCATACAACACGCAGGCTGCTGGCATTCCACTAGCTAGGGATCCGTCATCTCTCTCCCTCTGCATTAGAACCTCCAGCACGTGGAGAAGTACTAAGTTCTCAATCTATCTCAACTAGTGGAGTTCTTTACAACAGAAGACACCACAACTAGTATACTTAACAGGACGAATACAAGATACAGGTTAACAGGACGATTATAGGAAACAAGATACAAGAGAAAGCAAAGACTGTGATCATGATAGACAGTTGTAACAGTAACAGGAACAGAATCGTTAGTGATGAGGACCCTAACTGAATTGCGGTTTTCCGAGTTCCGGTTTTGCCCGTTGGATCGATCTGGACACCGACGCCGCTTTTTTCCTCGCACCATTCTCGTAAGGGTTCGATTCGCATTTTTTGCCACTATTGGTTATTGCAAAGTGGACGCTGGTAGATTTCAATTTTTTATGTGGTATTTAATTTCCTCTAGTTCTAGTTCTAGTTGCACTGCTCTACTTCTAGTCGTCTTTGGTGCTCCTTTTTCCTCTCTTTGTTCTTTCAATTTTCAAAGTCTTCGGGCAAAGGGCAGCTAACATATCAGCTGGGGTGCCGGGCGCGGAAAAGTCTTACATTCCACAGACAAGAAAGATGCGCCGACCCGGCACAGACTGGAGACGGCACCAGTACACTAGTGCAAGATGAGGATGTCAGGAGAAGGCAAAGCCTCGATTGGCATCGAGGGACACTAATATGTGATGTGTTCTAGTAGTAGTAACAGAGGATACAATGCAATTATATAATAATTCAATCTTGCACAAGAGATCTATGTACGCATAATATATCTAGATGACTCATTTTTTATACGAATTCAAATAATCAAAAACTACAGACAAAGCATTTATAAGTAAATAGATGACGCGAAGTCGAAAATCCCGGCAAGTTAAGCGTGAGAATACAATACAATACAACTAATCTCGCTTTTTTTTTTTTGTATCGTGAGCGAGTTCCGATAAGTCAAAACCTACCTGCGTATTTTGCAAGCGAGTCCCGATAAGTCAAAACCTGCCTACATATTTTCCGCGTGGATACCGGCGTAGGGGGGAGTTCTAAATCTCCTTAACAACTACGCTACTGCCCCTACGATTTCAAAATGCTGAACCCTAGGAGTAAAGGCAGGAGAATTTACACACCTAGTACCTGCCACCGCGAACGATGTCCGTCTCCCCATTACGCGCTTATTGGGAATGCTAGGTTTGTGGGCCGCGGAACGATGTCCGCATAGTCGACGAGTTAATTACTTATATGCGGGCCCTAGGTGGATCTGCGCGGCAACTGATTGGTGGAGGAAATTAGAAAATTTTTTGACTAAGTAAGAACATGCATGTTATTTAAATTGGTGAAGGAACGCTAAGTGCTAGGGGGCTTAAAATTTTCTTCATCTTCATGCGTCGCACAAGATTCAGAAGCAGTAGTGGTTTTTAACAACTCATAGACGAACAAGGTCGACTAATTACGGAAGCAAGAAGATGAAGAACAACAACAAAAACAACAGATCGCCACGACGGCAGCCATCTATGTCGGACTATGTATTTTTTTCCATAGGACTAGACTCGGCCCGCCTTCTAATCAATCAAATAATTCTATCAAGCAACTTAAACAATTGCATACCGGTGCCGCATAAGACCGTATGCCAACGGCCAAAAAACTACAACGTAATTGGAAAAATAAGGCTAAAGTTGATCTGGAAGATGATGATGTTAATACATAGTAGTTGTGTTACCTAGAAACAGCCAGCACAACTAGCTTAGAATAACGAAGTTAATGGCCACATTTCCGTTATTTGCAACTCCACTTTTAACAATATCACGAATCGTAGGCGCGACTCCAACCCGGCCAGCTGGATAAACCCCCCAAAAAAAGAGTGTGCAGAGCAGCGTCCAGGAGCCGCTTCGCCCCTCGACCTCCGAGAGGTCGTTTCCAAGTCCAGCTGCTGCAGGCACAGGTGCAACGTCGAGTACACCTACAGCGCCGCCCTGTCTTGCAAGGGTCAACACAGAACTAACTTGACTCGGCAAGGATGGGGTCCTGCTGGACAAAAACCCACTTGTTGTTGTCCAACGCGACCTTTTCCATTGCCCTGCCCATCTCTATTAGACTGCTTGTTGCCTGCTCCAAGCTCATCATCATGATCTACTCTATTCGGCGTACTACCACTCTTCTGGGAGCCGCGACAGAAGTATTTTTGTCCGCTTGCTCAGCTCCACACGGAACATCTAAAATCTCGACTGCCCGTGCATTCGCCTCAAAGAAATGCTGTTTTACATCCTCAATGTTCCCCGTCGCGACGTGTCTCATCCGGAACGACAGCAACCCTCCAAGTCCAAACATTCGAGGTCGAGATAGATGGGGTCCTCCTGGACAAAAGCACGCGGCAGTCTGGGAGAGGAGGAGGCCTCAGCGCCTGCACTGGGGACGGCCACTTCTTTGCCGTCTTCCTTGGTTGTTGTGCCTGACAAGAGGCATTTCTTTTTGTGGAGCTAATTCTTCTCCTTCTTCTCAACAACGGGCCAATACCTTCCCATCATTCGGTTTCGGTGGAAGACTCTCCGCATACTTAGGTACCGGGACCTCCATCTGTGCCAGGGGTCATCATGATCTGCGACATCATGATGTCTGCAGAATCTTATACGAATCACAGTCATTCATTCATTCATTCATTTACCTGTTCGCGAGGTATTGTCTATTTGCCTGGATAACATAATCGCGAGGTATTATCTCTGTTCGACAACAAGCACCCCTCGCGACGGGGGTAAAGAAGCCCAAAGATAGATTAACTCTACTATCTTCTAAAGAGCAACTAACTCAATATACCACATCAGCTGAAAAAAAATGCGAAAAAAAATTCGCTGAAAAATAGCAACCTCATCTACTTTCAGCCTTTCACACACGACTGATTACACATACTAAGTACTTTTAGGTGTGTTACCACCAGGCTAATGCATCATGTTCTATGTTATCCATGCTATGTGCCACCACCAGCACTATTCCTGCCACCCTGTTGTACACTTCCACCCTGCTGTACCCTTCACGTCGGTCATTCTCGCAAGTGTGGTCATCCTCGCTAAAAATGCGAAAAAAGGAGTAGTGGTCGTGGTCTTCTCTTTTCGTGCTTACTGGGCTGTCTCGGTAATTCCGTGTTTTCTTCTTTTACATAGCATTGTCTTTCTTCTATCTCATTCCCCTCTCCTCCTACTCGTCACTACCTCACTTTCAGTCATTCACCCACTCGCACTCACTCCTTACAATTACGACTTTCCCGAGTCTGCTCGACGCGCCAGCTTTGTTGGGCGCAGAGAAAGCAACGCAAGCACTTCACAGACACAAAGATAAAAAGTAACGCGGTGCGGACCCTGTCCTATCTTATGACTGCAATCATAGACCAGTAATCCACAAGAGGAGGTCCTGAAAAAAATTTTCCCATTTTCTTCTACTTCGACACTTACTCCACTCCTGTCTTCGAAATTTTTGCTAAGGCTGTGACTTCGCGGTGGAACGACTAGTATTCTTTCGTATTCGTGTCGGTTCTTGTCATGATTCATGATTCAGGGATCGTGGAGAATTACATTAGGCATTGATTGTTCTCTCATACGAGGCTATCAAGTTGACGACGAGGAAGATGAGGCACAGGAGCTCACGACCGGTGTTCCCTGCACGAGAGTGTAGGACGAGAGTAGTGGGAGTCCGCAGTTGTAGTTGAAAGTAATCCACCTTGTCTGACACGAAATAATATGTGTGAATCACGAGCGCGCCTTCATGTATAGTTGCAACAGCAACGAGTCGGAGAATCATGAAACATGGTTACGACTTCAACTACTTCATCAGGTGTTACAGTAGATTGATAGAGTATAATATTGACATATGGAAAAAAGTTTCACCTGTTCGTTCATGATTGTTCTCCAGAGGACTTCTTGTTGATGTCTTGATTAAGAATAAACTATACCTGCTGCGTAGGGGGAGTACTAGACGAGACAAGGACTTTCTTTCTTTCTTCCTATTGCATGCTTAGTTAGAGAGAAACAATATTACATTTATATTATAAATAAAATCTACCATAATTATGATCCACGACACTAGACTTATGGTTTCTTTCTACTTCTATAGATCGATGTAATTCTTGTTGTGCTGACTTGTCGTCGGTCCTCGCTTAGGTTAGGTTAGTGTCGATTTGGGAGTTCCAAGAGGAACTATTCCTTGTCGTCAGTGATCACGGAACACAGGTAGTTAAGACAGAGAAGTGTCTAACTCGGGGAAGAAAAATAGCACTGGGACTTTCCCACAGTGCTTCTTCTGTTTTCCTAATTTTTGTGCTCATACGGGGCTTGAGCCGCCGGACAATGAATTTCGGATGCAGGTTCACGCTTTTATGTTAAACTATGACTGTCTTCTCATCAATATGCGCGGTTTCATCGTGTATGCCTTTTTATGACTCGAGCTTCAACAAAACATTATTGCTCTCGCTTCTCGTCGATTCCTTTCATCACGAACCCATTGCAACAAACTTTACGACAACAAAAACTCCGACAATGTTTTGATAACGAACAGACAACCCGACATAGAAGAAAATATTTCCGTTGCGACAGAGCGATCTTACTTGTAAGAACCGACATACCCCCCTATTTAAAGTTTCTTCTATGTCAACATCAATTACTTCATGACGCATTACTCAACATAGTTATCACTTCCTTCACACCACAACACCCATTAAACTTCCTTCCTGAGATGACGTATTACACTAGGAACTACGCAGCGGCGGAGTAAGAAGAGCCGCCCATTACTGCTGCCACCTAATAACATTCAATATCCATTTTTCCATCCTATACTCAAACTCTTCCGAAAAAACGACTCATGTTACCTAACTAACTAGTACCAGCCTCCGGGACGATATGGCGTATCAATCCTCGGACAAGCCTGGCCTCCAACTGATGTCGAAAAACTTCTTACAAGTTTTATTAACCAGCAAGGTGATGACGACCACTGCCCCGCAGATGATCAGGCACCGAAAAATAACTACTTACACTCTAGCGGACCCTCCGCCTATTAAAACTAAAACTCAACTATCCCATAGTGAAAAGAGTACATCAAGAACCCCATTCTTTGATGACCCCGAAGAAAAAAAACACACCACCAGAAAGAACCATGACGAGACAGTAGCCTCGCTACATTCAGTCACTATCTTCATGAGGGGGCCTAAACAAGAACAAAAGAATAAAAGAATTTTCTGGTACGACTACCATGGAATTCGGAATTACGACTTACAAAACGCATCATTTTTCACAAAAACAAAAATACTCACGATTCTATGTCCACTTACTCAACCACGGAGATTCACCATCTTATCGTACTTAGTGAGTCGGAACACCTGTCTTTGCTTTTGGTCCCGTTCTTTATTACAATATTTAGGTATCCAGAAACGGTTATCCCACAGCCTCTCGTCATCCCAGTCCACCATTTGTTTCAGTCTCTTCGCCTTGATCCTAAAGAGGCTCTTCATCTTACGACACAAGAGCTTCCGAATGGTCACCACTAGTACTAGTTCCCGGACGTAAACGCATCGAAGCTCACCTAAGTATTCTCTATGCAAAACTTCGCACAGCTCTTGTAGGGACCAAGTGAATTCATAGGTATCCGCAGGAAATCCCTTTTCATCCACAGCTACACGGAGAAGACTCTCAATGAGTAGTTCCACACGAACAGTCAGTTCAGTGTCCGTCCCGTTACCCACTAGTTCACCATACCACTCGAGATCAAGCCGTCGGCAGATACTCCGAGCCACATCCATTTTTATGCGCCACTTATGTAGAAAATAAAAAAAAAACTCTATATGACCTGTGTTTGATTACTCATGTAACAAATAGTCAATATCTTCAAACCAAATGCTTCTCAATCTCGATACAATCACGGATGGGACTTATTTGTACACGTCACTCGCTACTTTACCTGCCTAAAATCCGTTCGTCAACCTTCACAAAATTTCTTGTCCGGTCGCACCCCTGCAAAAAAGTTTATGTATGAACTTGTGCATGCTTATTTTTCACTTCTCATTCTCTATGCAATCCTATGCAACACCCCTAAATGTGATCACCTTAACATATGACTTTAACTAACCAAACCTTACTTCATTCACTAACTCATCTGTTCAATAACCTACTATACAGACTGTGCATTAACCATCTTTTAACACGGAGATTGGGCTCAATCACAACATAATCAACAAACAGAAAAATTCTTCTGGTAGAGGCGGCAACAGAAACTTCTTCTCAGCCTCAATGCACTGAATACACCATCACTGTTCAACAAGCAGACTCTTACTCTTATCATTGAAATACACTTCAACTCACACGTGCCTCCAACTGAAGATCGCTATTGACTCGGCTTCTCATAGATCATTCTTTAGTTTTCTAATTTGCCCCAGGTTATGATCCATGGATGACTTACTGTCCCCACTATCGTACCAACAAAACCAACCATCCATTAACTCGTGGAACTTACACATTTTTCGATTAGTTGTCGCGTAGAACTTACCAAGGACATCAGACATATTCATTCGATCAGAGATATGCACCAAGGTACGTGGGAACACTTTGTAGATGAGACGAGCCTTATTCAAAGCCTTAAATAACCACACGTTACTCTCATGGCCTATCTCCCGCGACAGGA